AAAAGCACTAGTCTCGAAGCCCCCAAGGTGGCCAACTGCCCTCTTGTGAAAATTGTCTCTGCTCTACGTTCTAACCGGGAGCTCTGCTTATCTCCTGCCAGGAAGAAGCTGGCACAGCGCCTGCAGGATGCAGAGGAACACGTTGAGGCTGTGAATGCCAAATGTGCCTCCCTGGAAAAGACCAAGCAGAGGCTGCAGAATGAAGTGGAGGACCTGATGATCGACGTGGAGAGATCTAATGCTGCCTGCGCAGCTCTGGATAAGAAGCAGAAGAACTTTGACAAGGTCTTTGGGCTCCAGCCCCGGGGCTCCTGGGCAGAGCATGTCCTCCTGACTGCCACCTGCATACTGACGCCCCGTTTCTCCTCAGATCCTGGCAGAATGGAAGCAGAAGTATGAGGAAACGCAGGCTGAGCTGGAAGCCTCCCAGAAGGAGTCTCGCTCTCTCAGCACGGAGCTCTTTAAGATGAAGAATGCCTATGAGGAGTCCTTGGACCACCTGGAAACGCTGAAGCGGGAGAACAAGAACTTGCAGCGTAAGTGCCTGGCCCTCTGCTCCTGGCAGGGCTTTCTCCTGTCCACCACTACCGCCTGCAGCTCTGCAAAGATACTTGTCACCTTGGTGTGGCTGGGCCCTTCCGCTTCAGCTCTGAGCCTGACCGTGCCACTTTTCACCCTTCCTTGCAGAGGAGATTTCCGACCTCACGGAGCAGATTGCAGAGGGAGGAAAGGCGATTCATGAGCTGGAGAAAATCAAGAAGCAGATTGAGCAGGAGAAATCTGAACTGCAAGCCTCCCTGGAGGAAGCTGAGGTACATGCTAGGAAATGGTGTCCAGACTGAAAGTATGGGAGTATTTATTTGCACACATGGCAGGAAAGCGAGCCCAGATTTCACGAGGTACTGCGTAAGAGACTATGTAGAAAGGAAGCAGTAGTTTGAGTCACTGTTCCTGCTCACTTGTCCAGGCCTCCCTAGAACATGAAGAGGGCAAGATCCTGCGTCTCCAGCTTGAGCTCAATCAGGTGAAATCTGAGATTGACAGGAAGATTGCAGAGAAAGATGAGGAGATTGACCAGATGAAGAGAAACCACCTCAGAATCGTGGAGTCCATGCAGAGCACCCTGGATGCTGAGATCAGGAGCAGGAACGAAGCCCTGCGGCTGAAGAAGAAGATGGAGGGAGACCTGAATGAAATGGAGATCCAGCTGAGCCATGCCAACCGCGTGGCTGCAGAGGCACAGAAGAACCTGAGAAACACGCAGGCAGTGCTCAAGGTCCGTTCAGCAAAGATGCGTATAGAAGAATGTCTACCTTACATTTTTAAGACCCTGGAGTTTTGTGCCACCTTATAATTTCTCCTTCTTCTCTTTTACAGGATACCCAGATACACTTGGACGATGCTCTCAGGACGCAGGAGGACCTGAAGGAGCAGGTGGCCATGGTGGAGCGCAGAGCAAACCTGCTGCAGGCTGAAGTTGAGGAGCTACGGGCAGCCCTGGAGCAGACGGAGCGCTCGAGGAAGGTGGCTGAGCAGGAGCTCCTGGATGCCACTGAACGTGTGCAGCTCCTCCATACCCAGGTGAAGCACTCTGCATGAAATGAGTCCCATTAGCCAGGGATATCACAGAATCCAACAGCTATACGTCTTGTAAGTGACTACTATATACAGTCCTGAAAAGCCATGCCGTAACATGGCCAGTCCAGCCATCCACCCCTCTCTGGTTTTCTGCTGTGGCTCTAAAGAAGACTCCAGCATAAACGTCTTTCATAAACAATACTCACCGTTTCAGCTCCTGAATTGGAGGCATTAGTTCTAACTCTAAAAAACCATGTCTTTGCCTTTGCACAGAACACCAGCTTGATCAACACCAAGAAGAAGCTGGAAACAGACATTGTACAAATTCAGGGTGAAATGGAGGAGACGATCCAGGAAGCCCGCAATGCTGAAGAGAAGGCCAAGAAGGCCATCACAGATGTGAGCTGGGGGCTCCTTTCACTGCTAATGGTGGACGTGTTCTCCCCAAAATGTCTCCAACCCCAAAATGGCTTTCACCCTTTGCTCCCTTCAGGCAGCCATGATGGCCGAAGAGCTGAAGAAGGAGCAGGACACCAGTGCCCACCTGGAGAGGATGAAGAAGAACCTGGACCAGACGGTGAAGGACCTGCAGCACCGTCTGGATGAGGCCGAGCAGTTGGCACTGAAGGGAGGCAAGAAGCAAATCCAGAAGCTGGAGGCCAGAGTGCGTAGGGCTTTGAGTTGTGCGTGAGAGAACGTGTCATGCAAATAAGCAGCACGGAAGCTCCAAAGCCGGGCTTCTCATTGCAGGTGAGGGAGCTGGAAGCGGAGGTTGACGCTGAGCAGAAGCGCAACGCTGAAGCTGTGAAGGGCGTGCGCAAGTACGAGAGGAGGGTGAAGGAGCTGACCTACCAGGTAAGGCAGGAGGCCTCCTTGGGCTGACAGAGCTTTCTCACAAGTAGTCGAATTTTGCACACACCATCCCCAAGGGGAACTGTTAACCACACATGATGCAGAACCAATAATTCATTCTCTTTGCTGCTTACAAACCACTCTAGTCTGAGGAAGACCGGAAGAATATTCTTAGGCTTCAGGATCTGGTGGACAAACTGCAAATGAAGGTGAAATCCTACAAGAGGCAAGCTGAGGAGGCTGTAAGTATTTGTTGAAGAATGGGCAAGAGCCACCTTCCAGCGGGGCAGCATGCTCGTTGAGATGAGTACAAATCCCAGGAAAGGGGCCTGAAAGGAACTCCCAGGTCTTGGCCACGCCACGAGGCCTTGCAGAGTTCTGGGCACCCTGCACTCAGGGATGAACTGAGGGAAGCTCTGCGGCCTGTTTGATACAGAAAGTCAGATTAAACAAACCCAGGGGTCGCACCTACTGACTGAGACGTTCCTGAATCTCTGCTACAGACCAAAAGCAGAGGGTTTCAGGGTCTTTCTCAACCTGCTAAGCCACACTGATAGTTGGGCATCAGTAATGGGGGAATAAGTCTAGAAATGACAAATCCAAGTGACATAATTGCTCCTCAGGCAGGACACAGTACCGCTGAGTCTTGTCACGATGGGGCCCTGAATAAGGGAGGATGAGGAGGTCTGTGTGAGGCTTCCGTGTAAGCGGTGATGGGTGGGGGATGGAGGTTTGTGCCTTCCCCCAGGGAAGAGCCGCAGCCCCGCAAGGCCGAGGCACAGGAGGAGTGAACCCCCTGCCCTGGGCTCCTCACCACCGACTCCCTCTCCCCACACAGGAGGAGCTGTCCAATGTCAACCTCTCCAAATTCCGCAAGATCCAGCACGAGCTGGAGGAAGCCGAGGAGCGGGCTGACATTGCAGAGTCCCAGGTCAACAAGCTCCGTGTGAAAAGCCGGGAGTTTCATGGCAAGAAGATAGAAGAGGAGGAGTGAGGATGTCATGAGGCAGCGAAGTGACCTGGGGGATGCACAAAATGTGAACCTCTCCGTCGCTTTCTCTTATATTTTTTATTTGCAGTCACCTCAATACTTAGGGAATAAATTGTAGACGTCTTTGCATACATGTCATGAGCAGTAGTTTTTTTTTGTCCTCTTTTCACTGATTAGAGTTGTGTCATCATTAATCTTTTGTCACAGTTTTGACTTATAACCTTTGTGTACCTATGTTACAGTATGACTTTTTGCTACCTAGTTCTTAAATACTTGCCCTTCTCCATTACTTCAATGACTTTTAAAAAGGAAGTTTCTTACTGAGATAAGTTATCCACAAAGGCACAGAATGAAAGAGAAAAATAATTTTTTCCCAGGACCTGTTTTATTTAAGCTATTGATAAAGCAAGAGGTGTTGAAGAGAAAGGAAATGATGTTTCCCAATGAAATAATGCTGCTCCAGGCAGTAAGGACAATGACCAATATGTAAAAAATGCAGAAAAATTTAATGACTCTAAGTATACAATGCCATTAAATAGCATACAAAATTCAGTACAGTTAAAACTACTTGTCCGGAAACATATTGCAACATCACATAGAAAACGGTGTACTCTGAACTGACAATTACTGATTAGGAGCAAGGTCTGCCGCGTAAGCTGCATAATCGTGTGAAAACATCCAGTTATTTCTCAGCCATGGTAGCAAAATAGAAAATAAAAAGACATTTTAATTTGTAAGGAATTATGATTCCTAAAGCAATAAAGGTGATCAGACCTGTGAAGGGACTTCCATTGGAGGACCAATTAAACAGACCCAGAGACTTAAGATAGGAAAAGAGAGAACTGAGTGGGCATACAAAGCAGAACTATAAAATCAGCCCAGTGTGGTGAGGCTTGACAGGGATCAATGTTCTAAGTGAGTCTGGCATTGAAAGAAACAGGAGAGTGCAAAGGGCAGAAGATGGAGGATAGGGGGGTGGATGGAGGGCACGTGCAGGGAGCTGTAAGTAAAATGAAACTACCTGATGGCAAGATATTCAAAACCACAAAGACAGATGGGTTCTTTACAAGGTATGCAGTTAAGCTGTGGAAGTCCTTGGCCCTGCAGACTAAAAGATTACACATATTGAAAAGGGACTTGACCATGTTAATGGAGAAGAAATCTACCAGAATTTACCAGCTGCACAGAAATCCCACCTGTATTTCCAAGGTTTAGAGCTGTATGGAAAGACAGACGTTCAGGAGAGCACTTAAGGGTAACAGCATGCTTGGATTCTTTTTACAGTCTTATCTACTGCCAGAGGAGCACAAATACACTTGGGGAATGAGAGGGCATCCACTGCTCCAAGTCCATTTGGGAGTGGAAAATGAGTCTGTCAGTCAGGGTCAGAGGGATGAATATATGGTTTGGGAAGGATATGGAGTTTTCTGAGTTGTTCTCATGAGTTTACAGTCTATGCTCTCCATAGCTTCCTCTCTGAACATCTACTGACTGTATTAGGTTTTGCCTAAACAGATTAAAAAAAAAAAAAAAAAGAAAAAAGAAAAAAAAAAGTTCTAGATATGACTGTTGTTGCCTTGGAGCTTCACTGTCAAGCAGAAAGCAATGCAGGGGACCCTGACTATCACCTGCTTGGTCAAGCATGACATGCAGACTATGGCTATGCCCAGACCTCAGGTCAGTGGTCTCCAAAAACTACTCATCTACAAAGCTTTCAAAGGAGTGCCTGCCATTGGAGCTCTTTGAGGTTTCCTAGGAAGTGTTGAGAGTTAATAGTGGTCCCTCAGTCAGTGTGTGTAGACACCACTGTCACAGCATGGGTTTTGCTTCCAAAGAGCAAAGTGAGCTTCCAGTGAACTTTGCTTGCTCTCCTGGAAACTTCCAGCCAACAGAAGCATGTCTGTATGGCTAAGACTGAATTACCAAAATGAGTATTTAATGATCTGTCTCCAAGATGCTAACTCACCAATGCGTCAGTAATTTTAAGGATGTTCTACTCTCAGTAGTGAGGATGAGAAAGCAAGAACCCCAGATGTCTCTGTCATTGCTCTTTGAAAGTGTGATGAGAGTGAGCTTTTTTGGAGCTGATCAGTTTTCAGCCACAAAGAGCTCAATAAATCCATCTAATACCTAGCAGTGATGCCACTCTAGCTCTTCCTTCCCATGACGTGCTAGAAGGCTTCCTATGGTTTCCTAGTAGACTTCAGGTTTCTTTCACTTCACTTTATTCCCCACACTCATGACAGAGATCTGCTCAGCCTGACTGTTTTCTTATACTATTTTTGCCATGTTTATCTTCTTTTCACTCCTCCTTCTGAATATCCCACCATTCTCTGTCTAGCCTAAGATGCTCGAGTTCCTGAAAATCTCCATTATTGTAGAACAGTAAATAAGATTTTTTTTTCCATTAATAACAAAAGGCTTGAGGGTTTTTATGGACCTTACAGTGCATAGCCTTAGGGCTTGTCTGGACCTGAAGTGGTGTTAGGTTGTTCTAATAACTGTGTAGTAGTCAAACAAATTCTACCTAACATGGCTTAGGTTAAACTTTGTATTCAGTAAAGCTCTGACAAACCTTGGGTGTCACTGTGTAGTAAAGAATTACCCTTCATGTTAACTGGAGCAGGGTAAGCTACTCTGCAGCTTTTAAATGTCAGTTGGGAATCAGTGAAAGGGAAGCAGACTGTGATAAGGAAATAGATAATCCACTCAAGCAAACCCAAGTCCACGTAGGAAGAAATCCCTGCTATACCATACTCCTCCTGGTAGACTTGAGGATGCTGATAACACATAGTAGGCTCCATCCTTGCCACACCACCATTCTTAAGAAAGACTAAAGAGTCAATCTTAGGACAGAAAGTAGCATTGGGATGGTAAGTATAATACCATACAAAAGAGGCTATTAAGAGAAAGTATTTTGTGTAAGGATGTTAACTGTTTTATTAATGAGGCTTTTCTATATAAATTAGATGAACTTATTATTAGACTTAGAATGGGAACTTAGATCCACATATATGGTGTGTACCGAACTGCCCATAGCAAGGAAATACCTCCTTTTGTGCCCTACTAGTCAGGATGTGTGATTTTCCATGTAGAATAGACTTTAGAGACATTTTCAAATCACACTCAACAGACAACGTACAAGTTACTGTGAAATCTTTAGCATGTGTCAGCTCTAGCTGAGTATGAGGGACCTTTCCTGTTAGAAAGGACAGAACAGAATGGTATAGGCCTCTGTCAGAAGCAGTTTTCCTTTTTTTGGGAGAATTTCTAAGGTAACCTTGTAGAGAAGGAAAAGCACAAACTATACTTCTTCAGGAAGATGCACTATTTATTGGAAATGTGTAAAACCACATTTGGTATTATGGGACCCTTTCACATGTCAAGAACTAACCATACAGATTTGAATGCTGCAGGTGGACCTAAAATCTTGGGAGGTATACATGGAGATTCTACCTCAGCAGTACATTTCCGGTCTATAAATGGAGGCCAGAAGAAATCTGGTCTGGCCATTTCAGTTACATACTTAATTCAGGTCTTAAAAAATTTTCACTGAGCCATCATCAGTAATATTTTTGCATGTGCCCAGTCAAAAAATCTAAGCCATTCTGAGGTATAAAGCATATCCTCCCACACGGGTGTCAGATGAGAGTGAGCAGAGGCTGTACTACTAGGAGGCACATGCTTGACTCTCTTAGTACTTGTGAAGAGTCTTTTGGAGACACAGATTGTTAACAACCTGCTCAGACAGGTCACGCTTGCCTTAGCGATCCCCTTCCCTTACAAACCTGGTCTGGAAGTAGATGATCTGTGTCTTAAACTGTGATGCCAAGATACTGTGTCATGTGCCCACACAACCAATATTCTCATCCCAGTAAGTTTCACATGGATTACTCATTCTCCATGGCTGAAAGGGTACAAATGAGGCAAGAGTGATTAGAGAGGGCAGCTCCAGGCTGGAGGCCCAAGCCAATGTGGCAGGAACTGTATTGAAATGTAAGCATCCCACCAGATTTGAGAAGGCCAAGCCCATGTCAGGGATTACAAGTGAACTGTCTGTCTGCTCACCCCCAGGCAAATGGGCCCTGAGGATACAGTAGGTGCCATGAGGCAGCGGCCCACTGACTCACACTGACACAAGCCCCAGGTGGTGGCAACACATGAAGGAGCTGTGGTGTGACCCCAAGGTGGGTGCTGGTGTAGGGCCCAGCGACATCAGCTGGGACAGTGGCTCTGCCTTTTGCCTTGCTATTTGGGCTTTTGCTATGAGGGCTCAAGCCCCATCAACTTTCTCCTTGGTCTGGGCTCCAGCAGGCTCCTATCAGTCACAGGGAGCTCAGCCAGGCAGCAGCCACCCGGGCGCGCTGCTCCAGGCACCCACTGCCAGTGGGTGGCAGCATGGGGCCACCAAGGTGGACGCTCCTCTGGGTGGCAGCAACAAGGTCTCACTTCCAGATGGGCGCTTTTAAAGCTGCTGAAACTTCCTGGCCCACGTGTTATGATCGAATCTCATCAGAAAGGTTAAAATCCAACCAGGTGGGTCAGCCAGTTTCATGTGTTCCCAGTTTCACCACTGGGACAGAACAAAGACCGGTGGAATGGGCCGAAGAAGGCCTGGAAATGTTTGGGTCAGCAATGCTGAAAGAAAAAGAATTGAGCTGACAGAAGCAGCCACTGGTCAGCATGCAAGACCTCAGTTACACTGGGAACTCTACCCAGAAAGGGCACCGTGTAGATGCTTGGAAAGGTGTGACTATCAAAAGGCCAACATGCAGCATCAATGGTCCTACCAACTAGCACACACTTGAAACACAGGCTGTCCCTTCCTCAGCATGACAGGAGAAGATCAGTGGGGCAGGACATCAAGTGTTGAGGACCTGGCACCTAGACTAAATGGGTGTCAGGGGGAATGGGTGGGAGTCCCAAGGTCTGAGTGCCAGTCAGAGGTGGGAGCTCATTAGATGTGGTTCCTGCAGACCAAAGTGCTGGACAACAGGGAGATTTGCTACAATATCATTTTCCTGTTTGACACAAAGCATTAATGAAGACACCCTCAAAGACA